AAATTAATAGGCAGCAGGTTTAAAACAAATAAATGGAAGTTCTTCTTCACGCAGTGCACAGTCAACTTGTGGAGCTCCTTACCTGAGGAGGTTGTGAAGGCTAGGATTATAACAGAGTTTAAAAGAGAACTGGATAAATTCATGGTGGTTAAGTCCGTTAATGGCTATTAGCCAGGACGGGTAAGGAATGGTGTCCCTAGCCTCCATCTGTCAGAGGTGGAGAAGGATGGCAGGAGAGAGGTCACTTTATCATTGCCTGTTAGGTTCACTTCCTCTGGGGCACCTGACATTGGCCACTGTCGGTAGACAGGATACTGGGCTAGATGAACCTTTGGTCTGACCCGATACAGCCTTTCTTATGTTCTTATTGGTAGCAACAATGATAAAAATGGTCATTATTCAATCATATAGCATCACACCATGTTCTCGAACACCCCTTTAAACTGACAATCAAAATGGGATGTTTTTCTCAAAGATCTACTCTAGTTCAAGTCGGAATCAATCAAGGGCTGCCCTACAGCCTGTGTGATGCAGGAGGTGAAAGCAGGGTCCCTTATGGCCATAAAATCTACAAATCTATCTAGCGTCCCCTGCAAGGATAATATTTTTCTGTGTCTCATTATGGGTCCTTGCCAGACCCTGCGTGCCACATTTCGGGTCTGGGCAGGTTGAAAGGAACACAGGAAATTCAGTGTTCAATGATGCTTGCTACTCAATGTGACTAGCAGCAAATAAACCAGACTCCCTCTTATTCTTTGTGGACTCCTACTGGTAAGGAGAGAGAAGGTGCCCAGGCTGAGCTGGGAGTGGAGCGATGCCGACCAGAGCCAGAGGGGCCAGGGGATCAGCCCAGGGAGGAGAGCTGTGTAATCAGGAAGGCCAAAGAAAAATTGGAATTGCAGCTAGCAAGGGATGTGTAGGGTAACAAGTCGAGTTTCTACAGGTATGTTAGCAACAAGAAGGTTGTCAGGGAATGTGTGGGACCCTTACTGAATGGGGGAGGCAACCTAGTGACAGAAGATGTGGAAAAAGTGAAGTACTCAATGCTTTTTTCCCCTTCAGTCTTCAGAGACATGGTCAGCTCCCAGACTGCTGCCCTGGGCAACACAGTATGGGAGGAGGTGAGCAGCCCTCCATGGTGAAAGAACAGGTTAACGACTATTTAGAAAAGCTGGACATGCACATGGGGCCAGAAGCAATACATCCAAGGGTGGTGAGGAAGTTGACTGATGTGATTGCAGAGCCATTGAGCAAATATAGTGCCATCCAGCCTCACCTGGAAAAACCAAGGGGCAGGTTCTCATGGAATCTATGTTGATGCATTTGGAGGAGAGGAAGTTAATCAGGAACAGTCAACTTGGAGTCACAAAAAGGAAGTCATGACTGACCAACCTGATTGTCTTCTACGCTGAGATAACTGGCACTGCGGATATGGGGAATGTGGTCCTTATGAGTCCCTAACTAACTTTCCACAAGATGTCAAACATGTTTATAGAAGAGCTTAGTAGATTTATTATTACTTTAATTTTCTTTCTTTTATATAGTACCATCGGAATCACAGTAAAATTGCCCTCTCCTCCTACCCGCCCCCCGCTGCACCAAAATCTGAACTGAAGTCCCTGCTGCAAGGTAAGGTGAAGTGGAGAAAATCCAGCAACTGATGGCGGGGAGGGAGAAGAGTGAGAGACCCACAGGAAGAGATGGGGCACTGGGCAGGGCCTCAATATCTAGGTAACAGCAATTAGAACTGTGGCCATCCTCTGAGTTAATGAGTTGTACACAGACCAATTTCCCAGTTTATCAATCTGATACAGTATAGTGTGGTCAGGAAAGGATTTAATGTCACTTGTACTGTCCATTCAGTGATTCAGGGAAGAGGGCCCAGCACCGTGACAGCCAGCTCTGTATGGAGCTCAGTCTGAGAGCCAGAGCACCAGGAGAAAAGTTTAGGTCCTTTTATGGGAAAAGAGACGGAGCAGCCTGTCCCGGATGTGTCTAGTCCGCACTCCATAGATGATGGGGTTTAACATGGGGGGCACAAGGGGATACATGTTGGCCATGAGAACATGGAAATGCAGGGCCACATTGTCGCCAAAACGCTGCATGAGTAAGGAGAAAAGACCTGGGATGTAAAAGGCTAAGATGACACAGAGGTGGGAGCTGCAGGTCCCAAAAGTCTTAAGCCGGGCGTCCTTTGTGGAGAGGCTGAAGATGGCTTTGAGGATCTGGCTGTAGGACACAGCGATAAAAAACACATCCAGACCAGTTAAAAAGAATAGCACAAAGAGGCCATAGTAATTACTGATGCGAATGTCGGCGCAGGCCAGCTTCACCACAGCTATGTGCTCACAGTGTGTGTGAGGAATGATGTTGATTCTGCAATATGGCCACAGCCTCGCCAGCAAGGGAAAGGGGAGCATTAGCATGAAGCCACGCAGCACCACGGTCAGGCCAATCTTGGCCACCACGGGGTTTGTCAGGATGGTGGAATGTCTCAGGGGATGGCAGATGGCCACGTAGCGATCCAAAGCCATGGCCACAAAGATCCCAGACTCCATTGCTAAGAAGGAGTGAATGAAGTACATCTGGGTGAGGCAGGCACTGAAATCGATCTCCCTGGAATTGAACCAGAAGATGCTCAGAGTCTTGGGCAGGATGGACGTGGACAGGACCAGGTCAGTGACGGCCAGCATGCAAACGAAATAGTACATGGGCCCATGGAGGCTCGGCTCCATCTTCACAATGAACAGGATGGTGAAGTTCCCCAAGATGGCTATGGCGTACATGGTGAAGAAGGGGATGGAGATCCAGACATGGGCCACCTCCAGGCCAGGAATGCCCAGCAGGATGAAGGTGGAGGGGTTGGTGAAGTCGGTTGTGTTGGAATCTGACATGGAGTAGGGGAGAAGGTGTCTAACTCTGAGGCAGAACGGTGTCTCTTGCATGTACCGTACCTTCCCCTGACTTCCTGTATGTGCCCAAGCTCTAGGGTGATGGTCGCCGTAAATATTCCTGGATAGAGAGACAATGTTAATATGAGGTACTACATGCAGTACTGGAGGTATTCTCATGGGGGAAGTAGATTTGTTGTTCTTTAAACACCGATTAATGGTGTTTTCATAATTTGGGGAAATGAATTATGAACAAATGACCCTACTAATGCCTATTCCATATATTATGTTGCTCTATGCAACAATAATTCCTACACATTGTGGTGTGGGAAACATTAATTGGCATGAGCAGGTAAGGCAATGAAACCCAGGCTAGAGGGTCTATGCTGTAGGGATTTTCCCATTCCCCGGGTTGCTCAAAATCTGAGATTGAAAAAGATCCAAACGTTTCCCAAGAAATATGCCAAGGGAAACGTCCCAACTGCTACAAACCACAGGGAAAAAACCCTGTGAATCCTTGGTAGCAGCTCCATGGAAACACTTGCTTATTCACAACAAGGACAATGTTCAGATGTCAAAGGAATGAGGTGGAGAATAACCTGCTCTGAGCTTGCACTCAGTTTTGGTCACTCCACCTCTATAAAAAACATAGAAAATAAAAAGGGGGTTTCCAAGACAGGCTATGAGAATGGGGGAGGTTTCCATATGAGGACAGAATGAAAAGTCGGGGACTGTTTAAATTCGAGAAGAGACAAAGAAGGGAGGATATGATAGATGAGAGAAAAATAAAGAATGGAACTGATTATATTAAAATGGACAAACAGAGAACAGTGCCCTACCAGTAATATTTCTTAACACTTCGTACTACGAAAGGGCTAATTCCCCAAAGTTGTGACAAATTATCAGCAAAACTGACTGGGAGGAAAGTATGTAGAAATGTCTCCAGATCCAGACTGGAGGCTTTTCTAGAAGTTCTGCTTGAGGCCTCGTCTACACTTAAAAGGCTACAGCTACCATAGGGCTTCAGTGTAGACACTACTTACAAGGACAGCAGGGGTTCTCCTGGCAGCATAGTAGAGAGGTGGTAGCTAGGTTGATGGAAGAATTTTCTGTTGATCTCATGCTGTCTACACTGAGGTTAGGTTGCTTTAGGTCCCTCTTTCAGGGCGGTGGATTTTTTTCTTATTGCAAAAACCCCCACAGAAATGCAGTTTGGGGTTTCATTAAGAGGGGCATAACAGGCAAGTCATGGGAGGTGATATTATTATTATTCTCGGCACTGGCCAGGGCTCAGCTGGAGTTTTGTGTCTCGAGTGGGGCACCAGTGTGTAGAAAGGGTGTAGGAAATCTGGAAAAGATCCAGAGGCGAGAGACAAAGATGATGCAAGGTATGCAATAACAACCATATGCAAAAAAAGGCTGAAGGAACTGGGTGTGTTTAGTTTGGAAAGAGGAGATTAGAGGGGGACATGGTAGCAGTCTTCAAATATTTGAAAAGGTGCCAAAAAAGAGATGGAGAAATGTTCTCTCTTACCACATAGCACAAGACAAGAGGCAATGGGTTCAAACTACAGCACAGCAGAGTTAGATGAAATCTGAGGAAAAAATTCCTTAGAGTGAGAACAGGAGGGCAATGGAACAGTCGCCTCAGGAGGACATGGAAGCTCCATCGCTGGAGGTTTTCCAAAGGAGGCTGGACAGTCATCTGTCCTGGATGCAACAAATTCTGCTTCTTGGCAGGCAGTTAGACTAGATGACCCTTGCGGAGCCTTCTCACCCTGTGGATCTGTGATTCTATGATGTAAAATCCTACTGTAGACGAGGGCTTAGTGAAACACAAGTTATGGAGCCCAATACATGGGTAACTAGGTGACATTTACTGGCCTGTGTTATACAGGAGGTCAGACTGGATGATCTAATGGGCCCTTCTGGCCTTGAACCCTACGAATCGATCGGTAAAGAAACTAGATCAAACATTTAAATTTACTCTGTCTTATAACATATGTAAAAGGGAACATTCAATAACACTGATAGTCTGAATATATAAATGAAAATGGTTTACATAATACCTATTTTGCCTATGGAACTCCTTGACACAGATATTACTGGAGCAAAGAGCATAGCTGATTGGGATTCACAAATGGATTGGCCATTGAAACTGGTGCTGGCGGCACCACCTTTAGTTAGGGGGCTGACACCTTCCATTAGATGACCTCATTTTTAGTGGCATATGAGTTTGCCAAACTCTAAGTGTTTGGATTGAAATTTACCACACTGGGCATCTGCTTATGGCTGAATTTTTTTTAAAGTTTCAGACATAACGGTTCAATGACTTTTGAATGAAGCTAGGAGAGAGGAAGTCTTGCCCATGCTGATAAATTCTTATAATTGCCACAGTGAGGAGCCATAGCACCTCCATTTTTTCCAACAAAGCCCCCCTGTTAACAGCCAGAGCCCTGGGTTTGTCGAGCAGGTGAGCTACTCAGCAAGAGATGAGTACCTGTGAATTATGAGATGGAAGTGTCCTTCCTGGGAATCCCCCTCAGGTAGCCGTGTCCCACACCTCTCTCAACCCAGCATCTCCAGTAACATCCTATACCGAGAGCCGATGCAGGGGCATGCACCATTTATAATACAGCTCTGTGCAATCCCAATGGGGTTCGCTCAGCCTCTAGGGGAGAAGCAGCATCTGGATGTAAACAGGCTGGACACGGGCCTTTCTGCACGTCTGTGCTATTTATCCAGCTTTAGAAGTAAACAGTAATTAAGGGACCTTCCCAAAGTCTAATGAGAACTCCTGGGCTCTGTTCTAAATCAGAGAGGAATTGGCTGCTCTGTGCATTTGTGTATATTGAAAAGTTATTGCTAATTAGCAAGAACACTCAGGATAATGCCTAGATCTCCATAGGGCCTGATACCCTGCAGATATCTAGGAGGGATGGGTAGATATTAGACAGACAGATCTGAAGAATGATGATGGAGGGGACACACAAGCACTTTCTACAGGCACACTGAACTGTCCCTTAGGGATCAGAGATCAGTAATTCTCATCAGTAAGTATCATCATGTTGTATAGCACAGTGGTTCTCAAACTAGGTACGCCGCTTGTTCAGGGAAAGCCCCTGGCAGGCTGGGCTGGTTTGTTTACCTGCTGCCAGGTTCGGCCAATCGCGGCTTCAAGTGGCCGCGGTTCACCGCTGCAAGGCAATGGGGGCTACAGGAAGGGCGGCCAGCACATCCCTCAGCCCGCGCCACTTCCCACAGCCCCCATTGGCCTGGAGCGGCGAACTGCGGCCAGTGGGAGCCGCGATCAGCCAAACCTGCGGATGCGGCAGGTGAACAATCCCACCTGTCCCACCAAGGGCTTTCCCTGAACAAGCGGCAGCCCTAGTTTGAGAACCACTGGCGTAGCACCTTTCATTGAAGGATTTTGAAAACTCCTAACAAAGGAAAGTGACTATGAACATATACCCATTATACAGGTAGGAATACTGAGGCACAGGGCAGCATGAATTGGCCAATGTGACCCAGGGATTGAGTGTCAGAATGAGAGACAGAACCCAGGGTTCCTGACTGCCCTGCCTTAATCACGGTCTCTCCATCACATCAAGAGGGAAATGGACTCTGGCTCTGGCAGGGACTGTTGGTCAGGTGGGATTCAGAGGCAACACTGGAAGAGGGAGCCTGAACATTCCCCATCCTCTCAAGATGAATCCGAGGTTTTCAGAACTAGCTGGGGTTTGTGAGCTCCCTGCTCCTGTGAGGTGTGAACTCCGGGGCTCCACTTCTGCTCCCACTCAGAAACCTGCCAACACATCACAGTCACCGAGGTCACTTTGGGGGAAGAGACTCAGGAAAAGTAACACCAACAGAATACTCCTGTGGATAGAGGGCAGCCAGGGGGCCTGACCTGGGGACAGAGGCCTGGCCCTCCCCTCACTGCTGCCCTGGAACAAGGGGGGCCGTGTAGGCAGGATAGAGACTGGATTAGTGTTTGCACTGGATTTGTTCTCTCCCTCTCGGTTCATTTCCTCCCAGTCTCTCCCAGGTGGAATTGAAATCTAATATTCCAGGCTGAGTCAGAGTTTCTAGGAGTGCCCCGGCTGGAGGGTGCTTGGATTCCCACAGCTGAATTCTCTGCCTGCTCATCTGGCTAATCGGGGGTATGTCTCCAGTGTGGAGAACGTGCGTTTTTAAGCACTGAAATAAGACTGAATGAATTATCCTGACAAGGGCCACAGGGGTTCCATGTGCACCTGTATTAAAGTTACTAACACTCTGTAGCTGGCCAGCATGGTCTGACTTTCGTCTTTAATTAAAGGCAAAGAGGAGGGCCAGGCCCTGATTTACCCTGATTATTGTGTTGATTATGTATGATCATTATTTGTGTTGTGGAAGCCTCCAGAGGCCCCGCTGCAGTTCAGGGCCCCTTGTGCTGGGCCCGTTGCAAACACAGAAGGAGAAACAGCCCCTGCCCCAAGGAGCTTAGAAATCAAATTCAGAGAAGACACAGCTACTCTGTGCAACAATCACAAATTGGGTGGACGGAAGAGGTGGAACAGCACTCAGAATGGGTGGTTACACAGGCTGCTGGGTGGGTATGAGACAGTGGAAATGCACAGCCCTGCCCTGGCAGTTAGAAGTACATCCTGAGCTTTTAAGATCAGGACATGTGTTTGGGTATCAAGACTGGGGCTAGAGAGAACTGGCCAGTGAGTAGCAGCTGCACCAGACAGACAGCTGAGAGCACAGGGCTTTCCCTCACCTTGTGTAACTCTGCTTTACTTGCATATAAACAGGATAATCATACTGGGCAAATCATAACTTTCCCATTGACACCTGACAGGACATACTTTCTACAACATTTGTTGCAATTGTACAACAGTGGTAGCAAGAATGATAAAACTGATCATTATTGAATCATACAGCATCACACCATGATCTCGCCCCACTATGGGGCGAGAGCTGTTAGCCACTTAAGCAAGGAGCATTACCCAGTCTCA